TAGAGATGCACAGGTTTTTCGAGGAAAAAATGATTCACCACCACAGTATTTTTTTTCCAAGTTTCACATGTGAATGTTGAAGATGTTGATCCAAATTGATGACCTCGTTGGCTTGATATTTGTCGACCAAGTTAATTAGGCCGAAGGGGCAAAGTAATCATTGTCATTATTGTTAAAGGAAAGGCCGAAGGGGCCCCTGTTGCCGATGGGGTCGGGGTCACTAGTGGCCAGCCGTCGAAGCTTCAGCGCCAGCGACATTTTATTTGAGAAATGAGATTTTCAGGTAGCTAAAGATGGGTTTGATCCTATAACCCGTGGCTATATAAAAAACTTAGTTAGACTACCAAGCCCTTTGATAATATATGGCAATATATATATATATATATATATATAAGTAGTAAACCAAGCACAAAACCACTTTCATATAATAATTTAATGGTGTATTGTTAATTTTTGAATGAAACTTGTTATTTTATAAATGTCACTTGTTAATCTAACATGGACAATTACAAATTAAGGGCTTCAAAACTTTACTCATTTTACTTGTTAAACACCCCCATATACTGTTGTCAATCACGAATAGATTGTTGTTAAAACCAAATTAGTACTTGTCAATGAATGACTAATATGTACAACTAAACCCTTTCTATCATTTTTCTAACTTGTTAAAACCATAATAGATTCTTGTTAATTTCAAATGAATTGTTGTTATTTTACAAATGTCACTTGTTAATCTGACATAGACAATTATAAATTGGGGGCTTTAAAACTTCACTCATTTTACATGTTAAATGTCCAATGTGTTGTTGTCAATCACAAATAGGTTGTTGTCAAAACCAAATGGATACTTGTTAGAAAAATTGATAGGAAGGGTCAATACATGTTAATCATTCACTAACAAATACCCGTTTGGTTTTGACAACTACAAATTCATAATTGATAACAATATATTAGGACATTTAACAAATAAAATGAGTAAAGTTTTGAAACCCCTAATTTGTAATTGTCTATGTCAGATCAACAAATGACATTTGTAAAATAACAAGTTCTATTCAAAAATTAACAACACACCATTAGGTTATTACATGGAAGTGGTTTTGTGTTTAGTTTACTACTCTCTCTTTTTTTTTTTGCCATATATTATCAAAGGGCTTGGTGGCCTAGTAGCCACCAAGCTTTTTAGGTGGCCAAAGGTGGGTTTGGCCACTTAAAAATTTCATTTCTCAAATAAAATATCATCAGCGCCAGCTGTCGGCGGTCTGACATGCGGCGCCGACGATGATAGGAGTCTTTTTGTTTTTTCTTTTGGTTTTTTAATTATGAGGGGCATTTTAATTTTTTGCCTATGAAGTTAATATGTCTGAAGGACCAGAGGACTACAGTGAGAATATAAAATTATTTGGTTCTTGTGTGATATAAATATTGTACAGTGGTCCTTGGATGTTATTTTCCTTATTTGTTAAGCCCACATCAATTTGTTGTTCCAAAGATATTTGAAACCTAGAGTAAATCGGATGATCGAACCATATTCTCAAACGCTATATCAACTCATTTTGCAGCTTTAGACTTTTGTTTTTGTTATAAAGTTGTCATCTTAAAATTATAAAATCAATAGAGTATTTGTTGCCCCCTCATTTTGCAAGAACATTGATCAGTAGATTATTTATAATCTTATCGGGTCCCATCTACTCAGTGTTTATATATTTGTGTATATGTGTTATGACTTGCCTGACTGTACATAAATGTATATATATTGTTATGACTTATCTGACTGCATCATTTGATTATAAATCTAATATCCCAATTTGAAATATCATTGAGTCATGAGATATTATTAAGGATAATAAAATATTCTAAGTGTGACCTGAATTAGCTAATTATATTTAGGTTTATGGATTTACTGAATATAAATTAAATAATAAAACAACTCTGAAGGTGGCTGTTGGCCTGATTTTCGATGTAGGGGTCAGAGCGTCATAACCCTTTGGATGTATGTGTATGCCAGGCATGCTATAGGAGTCCTCAAAAGAGTAAGTTTCAATTAGACAACTAAATGGATTCCCAAAGTCCTTTATCATAATTTCTTTGAAGACTCAAGTGACTTGCAAGAACAATAATAGGCGGACCGTGCTTGAGCATGAAGCTCGATAGCATGACTTTGAAAAATGAGTACAATAGGGTGTGTGGTGGATATGGAGAAGCCCATGAGTTTGCAAAACTAGCCTAAGTGGTCAAGTTTGCACAGGAAAGGTAAATCGCGCAAGGCAAAGTAGAAGAAAATGCAAGGTCAAGTAAAATATTTGCGCTGGGCAAGTCTAGCATAAATTTAGCAAAGTATTGAGCGTTATTGAGTTACGTCACATTGCTTATTTATAGCAAATAGCAACCGCACGCTCCTTTGCTGGTTTAGGCTTTAGGGAATCATTGTAGTTTGGCTTGGCCTTCTACTTTTGGTTCAAACAATGGGTTATAAATAGAAGCCTATACACTAAGTTGGCGTACAATTAATTGAGAAAACATAGTTGTTATCCTTCCAGAGGGTGTTCTGACTAATCACAGCACTTCTCCAATTGTTATCATTGTGTCTACATGTTAGTCAAAAGATTCCTTCTCTTATCTATTTATCTAATTTCTTTTGACCATCTAGGCGTTTTTCAATTATTGTGAGACTAAAGAATCTCTACATCAAATCATCTAGCAATGGTGAGGAATAATACCGAGCCTTTAGTTCTAACTCTGATTTTATGGAATTATAGATAAAAGTGTATTTAGATCTTGTCATACATCTAGTACTTAATATTCGTACTTCTAATAATTAATTATTTGAATTCAAATATTTTAGGCCTTTAATTATAGATATACAGAAAAGAAAAGATTTAATCCTAGTCAACCAAAAAAATCCACTAAATGCAACAGACAGATCATAAATCTTAATATTTATTTGGAATTCAATTTGCGTACATATTCTATGATTTTATACTCAATAATTAGTTTTGATCGTCGTGTATTTTCACCAGTTTTATATATAAATCATCTTCTAAATATCTTTTATGCATTTAATTCACCTTCTAAAAACTACATATTATTTTCAGTCACCATGAGTATATTAATATATATATATATATATATATCTCGAAGAGCCTCACATGAAAAAAAAAAACATAGAATTTATAAGTTTAGAGGACTGCATCACTTAATGTAGCACTTGCAAATAAATTCCTTCTTTGGTCCAAAAATACAGTGACTAAACTCTACGTTCATCGTGCTGAGATAATCAGTATATGATTAGGCTGATATTCCCAAATGTGCAATCCGTTGATCAAATACCTGTAGAAAGAACAAAAAATATATAGTTTCAGTCATAACAGTCCTCTAGAATCATGCAGAGAACTGAGGACCTAACAGAAGTAAAAATTATCTAAATAAAATAGCAAAGGCAATGATGATTGAAGCTATAATGTTTTGAAATTAAGTAGTGACATGAATATTAGATTTATGGCTTACGAAAAATATACTTTTTATCACGAAAGTGTTCTAATTCTAAGTTTTCATATTATTTCACTCAAGTGTGCCTTATATTTTGTTGTGTAGTTTAAAATTTTAAAATTATTGAATATTTAATAATCTTATAAATAATATTTAAAATTGAATAAAATAATTTGTAATTATATTTTTATTCCATTAGTATGAAGGATAAAAGCACAAATTATTTTGGTAATTTAATTTTATAAAATATTTTTTCAGTTATTTAATCCTATCGTCATTAATTTAACAAAAAAATTTATACATTCAATTTTTAAATATTGACAAAAATATTCTTAAATATTAACATATTAAATTCAATTTTTTTAACAATAACAATAATTAGCACAAAAAATAATTATTTAAAACTAACAATGTTAAAATTATTGAACTGAAAAGATACTTTATACAATCAAGTAACCAAACTAAAATTGTATATAAAAGTTAGTAGATCAAATGTGCCTTGAAATAATCCATATGCAAGAAGAAAGAGAAAAAATAATGAAAAAACTGTTATTTTAATAGTGATATTTTTTATAGACAAAAACAGACCTTTTGGACACTTTCAAGTCGTCTTCCTTTTTTTCTCTTGCACAGCTTCCTATCTTTCTGGACTGCGCCTTGTCTTTCTCTTCGAGTCTGCTGCAACTATATATATATATATATATAAGTAGCCAATATTAATGAGCAAAACACGTATCCAAATTCTAGGTCAAAAATTATTTGAGGTGGACATAAACACTACTTAAATTGATCACATAAACTCTAGTCGATCGACTTCACCGGTCAACATACATCTAACCCGGATTTTAAAACTGACTAAAATTCAACAAGTGGAAGCCCAGGATAAGATATGCCAACAAAATCCTACCAATAAGGGGGGGCGGGGGAAGAAATGCCAATAAAATATCAACAGCAACACACAAGGGAATGAGGAAGGACCCAAAAAAAAAATACCTTGGTGATGACTCGTGATGCTGACTGAATGTTCAAAACGAAGATGACAAGAAACCTCTTTAACAATGCGTGAGATAACATCACCTTTTTTTTCCCTGGTCAATTACAAGTATCCATTGATAAGCATAAAGTAAACAAGTCAATATTTGAATACAATAATAATCCCTTTTCTTTTACTTTAACATAACCTATACGATCAAACCATGACATATTTAAAGATACACTTTTAATTAATCTCATAGTTAAATTAGGTTTCCTCTTCTATTATGTTAATTACTTGCAAAAGACGGGGGTTTAAATTAATTTGATAGCATCTATGAATGACATTAAGAGATGCTTAGACGTAGAATTGAATTCTTATACTTTTTCTTTTTTTTTGTTACTATTACATGTCACAACCTTCGCTTTGCTGTTGCAGTATGTTCCTGGTTGTGAACATTTATGCAGTTATGTTTTCATTTAAAAACATATAACCTAATACACCTAATTAGAAACCTTGTTCTGATTTCAAAGTAGACATACCATTTTTCTAATCTCCAACCAGGCCCGCGAGCTGCTTTAAACAAGCCGACTTCAACTTCAACTTCTCCTCGTTGGTGTAACCCAAAAATTTGCCTCTACGCTTTTCCATTTCTGATTTCCATCTGCTTGTTTCAAGTCTTGCATCCGAAAGGTCTACATCGTAAAAAATGGGCAAAACCAATTTGCTCTTTGTTTTCATACAATCAAGGATCATGACAAGTGTGTCGTCTCTTGACGGAGAATATGTGAAGAATTCATTAGAGAATACAATAATTAAAATCCTTGACTCTTCAATTGCTCTAAGAGATGTTGGGTCCGAATCTTCATTCCATTTAATGCTCACAACAACTTTAAAAGCATTAATATTGTTCTCATATAAAGCATTATATACATCGTCCGCGAAAATGTCACTGCAGGTATCTCCAAAACTCAGGATCAATACATCATGTCTTGGCCCTTGCACAAACAAACACGAGGCATACATTCATGTAGTTTCTCAAAATGCATCTTCAGACTTTAGCGAATGAAGTAAAATTAATGCATGGCATCTTCATAGCTAGTCAACGCGTATCATTACCAATTAATGTATTTGCCATACCAAGAATGAAAAATCTTGTCTTATACTACAATATTAGTATTGGCATTTTTAGCAACAAAATGAAAAAAGTATTGACATTTTCGCCGTATTATTGATTATGACTTCAATGGAAATTTAATACACAGCTAGCGATATAACTGAATCTTAAACTACAATATCTGCAACTGCAAGCTAATAATGCATTAAACTATAACAGGCATAAACTTTTTTGCTCAAAAAAATATAATGGACATAAACACGAAAACAAATATTGTAAGAGACTACTTGTGTAGAATGCCGAACAGCCTATAATTTACAATCAACTACTCTCTCTATTAAAAATTATAAGGCATAATTCACTAAAAAAAAATAAAAAGCATTTTTAATTAAATCTCATCCCCAATAAATTATTTAATTATTTTTAAACTAACATCATCTTTGCATATTTATCCCTATTTAATATGTTGTTTCATTTAAAAATAAATATAAAATGATTCATTTATTAAGGGTATTTTTTGAAAAAAAAAACATTACTTACATATTCAAACACTACAAATACTTTACATTTTTGAACATCTAACTCCTTAAAAAATGCCTTATATTTTTTAATAAAGGAAGCTAAGTATATAATAATTTGCATTGATTTAAATTTAAGTGTTTGGCCTTTGATTGAAATTTTGAAATATTTAAATCCTATATTATAATTAAATTGTTATTTTGGTCCTTAACTTATTCATATCAAGTCCATAATTATTTGAGATCCCAACTTAAATGGACTTAAACGTTAATGGGCTTTATATCGGTCCACATCTAACCCGTATTGCTAAACTGATTCAAATTCAATTAGTGTAAGCCCACGGTAAAAATAAAAAAATAAAAAATTCTAACCTTCATGATGACTCATGATTCTCTCGATTAACTCTGAGGGTTTTATTGAATATAAATTCCGGTACGTATCATCTTTGAGCTCTTCTCTATCTTGTGGTTGTTCTACATTTCACCAATGAGGCAGTAAATCAAAGAATGTTTTAATATGGGAAAGAATGTGAATGTTTACACAAAAGGAGGTTGGAGGGAAAAATACCTCCATGACCCAGAGTGTTTCCAATTGGCTCTATTGGTTTTGTTAAATGTTCCAAACGAAGGCGCCAAGAAACAGCTTCAACAATGTGTGGGATAACTTCAGAAAAGTTTTGGATCCTGTGTAAAAAGTGAAAAGTAAACAAGTCAAAATTTGAATACAACATTCCTTTTCTTTTACTTAAAGGCACCCTGTGTCATTAAACCACGACATAACACATGCAGCTTATGTGCTTCAAATCAAATCAATTATATGTTTTCTTTTCTTTTCTGAAATAAAATGAGTTAAGAATGTGAATTATGCAGTTATGTTTTTGTCGAAACATACCACTTTTCTATGCTCCAACCACTCATGCAAGCTGCTTCACGCAAGGCCGACTTCCACCTTTCCGCCTTTTCCGTGTCATTCTTGGAATGCTCCGCCATTGCTATTCCGAAACTTCCCAATTGATATCTTACATCTGAAGGGTCTATACCACAGAAAATTGGGAAAACCAATTTGCCCTTTTTCTTCATACAATCAATGATCATGGCAAGCACGTCCAGACACCATGTGCAATGAGCATAGGATTCAGAGAATACAATAATTGAAATCCTTGACTCCTCAATTGCTTTGGCCATAGTTGGGCATAAATCTGCATTCCATCCAGAGCTCCCAACATAGTTGAAAGCATTAATATCGTTCATACATAAAGCATTATCTAGACGTCTCGAGAAAATGTAGGAATCTCTGCAGGCATGGCCTTGTCTCATGTTAGGCAAATCAGACGGTCGCCTTAAGCCTAAAAAAAAGTCTACTTATACCCTATATAATTAGTCATTATTTTTCTTGTTAAGCATTAATGGTAATTATATATCTTATATAATTAATTATAATTTTTTATTTGGTATTAATGTTAATTATATATTCCCATCAAAAATTTGTTGCCCCATCTTCCATTGCAATTATCACTCCTATTTCAAAATTTTGTTAGTCTTGTAACGTCCAAATACAAGCACAATCATTGCCTTTCCGCTACCACTCTGTTTTTCATCTCTCCTCCCTTAAATCTCAATCAAACCTTTGTTTTTTTAAATTAAAATTACTTAAATCTTATTTAAGGTCAATCATGTTACAAGATAGATTAAATGAATTAGCTAAATTATCTATTGAAAATGAAATGTTAAAATTAATTGATTATAAAAATTTATTATCTGATTTTGCAGTTCAGAAGACTAAAAAAATGATATGAACATATATAAATAATAATATAGTAGGTTTCTTAAATAATTTCACCTGCAGGCTTCTTTAAAGCTCAGGATCAATACATCATGTCTCGGTCCTTGCACAAAAGAAGATGATATAAGCTTACAAACAAACACAAGGCATACACATTCATGTAACTTCTGGATATTTGTCTTTAGCTAATGACATAAAATGTATGGCATCTTATTAGCTAGTCAACACTTATCATTACCTATTAATATGTATTTGCTATACCAAGAATCTTAATCTTCAATATTAGCATTTGCATTTTTTGGTGTATTATTGATTGACTTAAACGGAAATTTAATACATAGCTAGCGATATAACTTAATTGTAAACTACAATATTTGCAAGTTAATAATGTGTTAAACTATAATAGACATAAACCAATAAAACAAATATTGCCAGAGATCCTCACTGTGTAGAATATTTGCTGAAGAGCCCACAATTTACTATTAACTATATAATAATTTGCAATTGACTTTTTTTTGGTACAATTTTTGCAATTGATTTAACTTTAAGTACCTTTGGCGTTTGATTGAAATTTTGAAATACATCTAAATCCTATATTATAATTAAGTTATTATGTTGGTCCACAACTTATTCATATCAAGTCCATAATTATTTGAGATCCCAACTTAAATGGACTTAAACTTTAATGGGGTTTATCGGGGATTTGGATCCTCTACTCTATACCCTCCCTCAATGTGGGGCAGTAAATCAAAGTATGTTTTAACACGGGAAAGAATGTGAATGATTACACAAAAAGAGGATATGGAGGGAAAAATACCTTGATCACCCATAGTGCTCCCAATTGACTCTACTGATTTTGTTAAATGTTCTGCAAGAAGGCGACGAGAAACTTCTTCAACAATGCGTGGAATGTCTTCGTCCTCCGACCTACTCAATTCCAAGCATTCATTAGTAAGCACAAAGTAAGGAAGTCAAAATTTGAATAAAATATTCCTTTTCTTTTACTTAAAGGAAAACTGCGTTATTATACCATGACATATTTAATAGGAAGGTCTGTCCACAAAAAGTATAACACACGCAATTCACATGCAGCTTAAGCGCTTGAAATCGATTATTTTCTTTTCTATTTTGAAATAAAATGAATTAAGAATGTCACTTATGCAGTTTTATATGTTTTTGTTGAAAAACTTGTAACAAACACCAAAGAAATTCTATTTTGGTTTCAAAGAAAGAAGTAAAGACATACCATTTTCCAAGGCTCCAACGACGCATGCAAGTTGCTTTAGACAAAGCGAACTCCCACCTCTGCACCTTTTCCATGTCATTCTTGAAATATTCTGCATGCTCCGCCATTGCTACTGCAAAACTTCCCGATTGATGTCTTACTTCTAAGGGGTATACATCGTAGAAAATTGAAAAAACCAATTTGCCCTTTGTCTTCATACAATCAATGATCATGGCAAGCGCGTCAAGACACCATTTGCAATGAGCATAGGATTTAGAGAATACAATAATTGAAATCCTTGACTCCTCAATTGCTTTGACCACAGTTGGGAGAATACCTTCCTCCCTCCTGAATTTAGCATTGAAAGCCTTAATGTTGTTCTGACACAGAGCACCGTACAACTTGTTCTTGAAAAAGTAGGAATCATGATCGCTGGCTTGAAAACTCAGAAATACATCATGTCCCCATACTTGTGCAAAAAGAAGATGATATCATTATAGCCATAAAATATTGATGCTAATTTTAATAGTAAAACTACACATTCTACCAGCAATAGATAAATGCAATATGCTTATATGATCATATCAAAACTTCAAAATTTTATAATCGAGGTATAAGTGTATGAACAATAATTGAAATACAGACTAAGAAATACGAACAGTATATATATACATATATACCTGGTTGCAAGTTATTTTCAAGCTTCATGCCTTGTTTGCCTACATTAGTTCCTAAATGAATTTCTGTATCTTGAATATTATTCTTGACAAATATCTCGACATGATTGCGGCCATTCCACTTGAATGATTTGGAGAGTTCGAGTTCAGCCTTGTTAATAATGCTGAATAGATCGAATATATATAAATGATCAACTGTAAATGATGAGAACCACTGTTCAGAAAGGACTTTATGGCTAACACCATCTATCCGCACGGAGATATCAAGGTCAACAGTGTTGTTTATGGGTGGTCTTTCCGGCTGGTTTATTATCATAATCCATATCAGAATCATTGAGAACTTTTCACCAATCGAAAAAGAAAGAGGGGAACTGCTAACTTTGTTGAGCATCAAGTCTTCTGGGAACTCTTTTTCTGGAAAAACATAGTTTAATTTCCCTTCCTTGGTGAAGAGTACCTGCTCACATTACGAAAAACAAAATGATAAATGATATATACGTAACAAAATAGAAAAATTAAAGATATGAACAAAGACCTTATCCAATACTCTGCCTTTAGAAATCATAGTCAGTGATTTGCAATTTATGGCGCTAAATTTTTTTAGGTTTGGCGGCATCCCAAATATATATTGAAGCTGCTTGCAATTATCCAGGATAAGACTTGTCATGTTGCAACATTCTTCAATGCATGCAGGAAGAGTTGTGAATTTTCCACAACTTAGGTCTAACTGTATCAAATTTGGGAAGCAAGAAAGACATAGTGCAAGAAACTCATTTGTCAAATTGCAATTTGAAAAATAAAAATATTCCATTTTTGAAGACCCATTCCTGTAGCTGTCTATGCTTGCTTCTTCTCTATCTTCACATATCTTCAAATCGCTCATCCCATGACAAAGACTTGTGCAAAGAAACCAGAGCTTTGGCAGCATGAAAATGCTAGCTGGTAGTTGCTTAAGATGATGACACTCCTCCATGTTTAAAATTTCAAGCCCAACGAGTTTGCTAATTGAAGATGGCAATTCCACTATGGCTGTCCTATCCAAGTCAAGTTTTCTCATCTTTGTCATCTTCACCAATATTTTTGGGAAATATTGTAGACTTGAACATCCTAACAGGTTGAGATGTTCAAGAGATTCCATGCTAAGCTCAAGTGGTAGAACTTTCAAGTTTTTGCATCGCATAGCACTCAATTTGCTAAGTTTACTTAAACTTCCAACTGAATCATGAATTTTAGTTAGGCTTGTACAATCATCAAGACACAACTCTATTAAATTAAAAGCTCTTGATAAGTCTGGTATTTCTTGTAAGGACTTACAACTTTTAAAATTCATGTACTTTAAACTCTCGAACTTCTGCACATCATTGGTAAACAATTATATTTAAAAATTACAAAAAAGAAACAAAAACATAGTTCTAGTCAACTATACTTACCTTATCAAATGGCAACTGGAGCAAGTCAACATAACTGTAGGACAAGTTGAGGTAGACAAGTTCTATTGGACAAAAATCAAGTGGTAAAAATCTAAAGGGGTACTTCTCCCACTCCAACCACCTTAAACTATTTGGGAGATATATGGGGCCTTTAGGAAAGCATGCATTCTTTATCACAAGCATTTTGAGATTCTTCATCTTCACGAATGCCTCTCCACTCCAATGTACTTCATTACCTTGAGGTAAGTCTAGAACTATGGCCTTTACTTTATTAGTTCCCTTTCAAAATGAAAAAACACACAATAAATTTCAAACTTTGGATTTGCATCAATAATTAGTACAGTTTTGAAAGAAATTAAAAATGCATGTTGGTGGTCTTACTATGTCATGTTGCAAGACTTGAAGAATGTCTCGATAGAACCATAACCTGCTACGTTCACCAGGCTCATCTTGTGATTCTCGACGAACAATCTCTTTACCCATATCTTCCATTAAGTCATGCATTATCACACAATCTCCTTCAATCTTTATGAGGGATTTATCCATGAGCACGTTGATAGCATTTTCCGGTGGGATTTCATGAAGGTATAGCAACCGACACTTAACATCGCCCAATTTCTCACCATTGAAGAAACAAGCCAAGTCAAGGAAAACTTTTTTCTCGAATTCTCCTAAAGCATCATAGCTTAATTGGACAACTTTCAAAACTTTTCCATGCGGTATTGCTTTAAATTGATCCAAGGCAACACTCCATTGATCAACTCCTTTACCACATAAATCAGAGCCAATAACTTCTAAAGCTAATGGGAAGCCACAAGAATAAAGTATTGCATGATTGGAAACCTCTATGAAGTCAGACTCCACATTCTCTTTTTTAAAGGCATGCCAACTAAGCAATTGAAGAGATTCCTCTTTATTTAATTTTCTAACTTCATAAATGCATTTAACATGAGTATGACTTACTAACAATTGTTTATTCCTTGTCGTGATGATAACTCTACTTCCCAAACCAAACCAATCACAACTCCCAGCTAGTGCTTCTAATTGTACCAATTCATCAACATCATCAAGAATCAAAAGAATTTTCTTCCGACCAAGCCTACGTTTTATTATTGGTATTCCTTCATGAAAATCACCCAGTTTAAGATCCTTCTCCATAACTAATTTACGGAGTAATGTCTCTTGAAGATGTGGTAGACCATTTCTCTTTTGGGACATTTTTCTTACATTAGAAAGAAAGCATAAGCCTTCAAAATGAACAGCTATCCCATTATACAAAGCTCGGGCAATTGTCGATTTACCTATTCCACCAGGCCCCCAAATCCCTATCATTTTAGTTTCCTCGATAGACCGAAGCTCTAAAAGTGTGACCACTTCTTTAACGCGAGGCACAAGTCCAACTGGATAACTAGTAACATCCAAGAGATCATGATTAATCCTAGCAGAGACTTCACTAATGATCTCTGTAATACCTTCTTGTTCGTTTGTAATACTGTCCAATTCATAAAAAATAACTTTTAGTCATATAATAAATGATTACACTCCGATCTAAAAAATAAAATCTCTGCCGGCTGTTTCATTCCTCGTTTCAATGATTAAACAATAATAGGTAATTGTTGTGAAATTATTAAAAGTTTTAAATACTATAATTTCAAACCCAAAACCAATTTTTAGAAAAAGTTAATTTCATCGGACAAAAGTGATAAGTGTACATGTAAGTATGATTATGTATATGACAATCAAAATAGTTACGTAAATTAATAGATTTCTAATAAATTGAATAGCACCTCTGCATATTGGGGGAAGTATATAGGGCATGCGCAAGTATTGTTTCTATTATTTTTTAAAAAAACACACATACATTTTCCAGAGACTACGTATACTGTAAACACGAAAATAATGGAACGAATCTGGCCAAGTCTTCATTATCATCTAGGATATATTGTACTACATATGATTGTAATATTGTTATTAAGCATTTATAATTTTTCCATCCTGTTAGATGTATGTCTTAATCAAAATAATACCAAAAATGTTTTTAAAAAAAATGAGAGAGAAATATACGTGGGTTTGAGATGACAGCCTTTCAAGTTTGCTGCTTGGGACAAAGCCAACCTCCATTTTTCCACTCTCTTTTTGTCTTTGAATCGTTCCTCTAGACTCGCCAATGCTTCTGCATAGCTTCCTCTCGGACGTCGAAGCTCCGATGGATCCACATGATAAAACACTGGGTATATCAGCCGACTTTCCTCCTTGAAGCAGTCTAGAATCTTTGCAAGTTCTTCCAAGCAAAAGGTTGATTTTGCATAGTTTTCAGAGAAAACTATGATAGCTACTCTAGATTCTTCTATGGCTTGGAGAAGTGTTGGGGTGATTTTTTCTCCAGTTCTGATGCCTTCATCATCAATAAAGGCACGAATTCCTCTCTGGCGCAGAGCCTCGCGGAGATGGCCAATGAAACCTAGGCGAGTATCTTCACCGCGAAAACTAAGGAACACGTCATAAGTCCAGTTGTAAGTGACAGAAGAAGATCCAGCTTGTTGTACCATGATAATCACATCAGACTCGCAGAGCTGAATGAAAATGGGGGAAGCACAGAGCAAAGCAAAAAGATCAAATCCCACAGGAATGAAATCTTACGAAGCTGAGCGCATGATCTTAGAGGAATGGTTAGAGATCAAGAAAATGGCGGAAGTGTTGAACAAAGCAAGAACAGATCTTCCAGGACTGGAAAGACAGTACATAGGAAGTCGGGAAACGCGAATTTTATTCTTATTTAAACTTATTAATTGTAATGTAAATTTAAATTTTTTATTTAAATATAATAAAATTAAAATATTATTTTTTAGATACATAATAAATTAATCACCTCTTATTAACTTTAATAATAAAATAATTAAAAGTATTTTATAATAAAAATAAAAGGAAGTAAGAAAATAGGAAATGTGAACCTGAGACATGGAGAGAAGGAATTAATTATGTACAGTCTTATTAAAATACCCTTCATGTCATTTGCTTACTTGGAAGGCATTTTTGTGTCATTTTCCAGAATATTGAGCTTGATTGTTTTTAGAATATAAATATTATATCGCCTCTCATTCGAGCAGGGATGAAAACCGAATCATTCCCATTTTGCAAATTATAAAAAAAAGAAAAAAAAAACACACACACACACGGAAAAGAAAAATTGGTTGCTGTATTTTTTTTTAATATATTCAAAAAAGTTAAGTACTTCGTAATCACTGACCGGGAAGGTTCGCAGAAGTTTCTTGTAAGTGGTGCCATGAAGGATGAAGCTGTCATGCATAAATTCCTACTTCCTGCAATTGGACGGTGATACGAAAACTCCGCGAAGCTTCCTTGTTGGAGGAGGATATCTTTTCATATACCTTTAATAGTGCTGTAAAGCGGGCCCCAGCTTTATGTTCTCAGTCCTATAAGTCTAGGTTTTTTAATTTTGATCATTTTTCTCCAACTTTGCTCTTTATTTAAAGCATTCAAGAGTCTCTTTTTCTTAGCGAAGAGCGCCAATTAAAAATGGCAGAAGCGCAGAGCAAAGAAGGAAAATCAAATGCCACTGGAATGAAATCTCTGAGTTGAGAGCATACACTTAGCGGAATTATTAGCGATCGAAAAAATGGCCGAAGCCTTGCGCAAAGCAAGAAAAGGATTGAGAGGCCTGTTTTATTGTGTTCTTATTTTTCATTTTTAAAAAATGTTTTACAATACAATTTTTAAATTGTTTTTTAAAATAAAACAAAAAAATCTGTTTGATTATATTAATTTAAAAAAATTTTAAAATTAAAACCGTAATATTGCCTTTCCATTAACAATAGTTTATTTTCATAGTTAGTTGATAAAAAATAACAAAAAATAAAAAATAATAGTAAATGATTAAAAAAATTTCTTGATAATTTTTAATATTATTTTCTGATTACTTAACATTGGCTACTAGCAGAGACGACATTAAATCAAAAAAAAAATTAAAATCTCAGAACCTTCTAAACGTTTAATTTAAGGGCTAAATTGCCTTTTAAACCTGCAAAAAAGGGGGGAGTATATAACTAACCGGATTATGTTTGGTCAAGTTAGTGTGTCAATAAATTGGAATTCGAGTCACAGGAGAGATGCTTTTTAATACCTGACGATGACCTCAAGAAGATTACCTTACGTAAAAGGGGAAATGATAATTAGATTCTAAACGAATGAATTAATGATATTTTAATTCTTAATAAAAAAATTTTACAAAATAAATTATAAATATAATTTAAATAGATATAAATAAAAAATTTTGTAACAATTTAAAAGTTATATTTAATATTTAAATATTTATTTATAATTAAAATTGCTGAATTTATAATAATTTAAATTGATTTTTTTTAAATTTTTGAAAATTTAATTAATATTAATTCAGTATTTTATGACTTAACTACCGTTCTCCCCGCTTAAAAACACACTTGTTTATGGATATATATATATATATATATAGAAGAGAATTTCCTGGAAGTTTCGTGAGATGGTGACGCCTGACAGATGCTCAGTGAGACTTCAAACCATTTTTTTTTTTTTGCCGTGTTTTAAGTGTTGTGCACTTTCCCTTTCTATTTGTGCTGCGCCCTTAAAGTTCAAAGGAAATACGACGCAGCTTTGTGGAGGTGTGATAGCATGCTGAATCAGCAGGATCCTCCACCATTGACTTAACAGAGAAGAAAGGGGCGGAAATTAACAAGGTGTTCGCTGCTTCGTAGAATTGACGTTCAATTATGACTAACCTACAGCCAAAAATGGCGAGTCAGCCTTCCACTATCCCCCAGACCTGTGAAATCTCTTCTTGTTTAACTTTTTTTTTTTTGGACCAACATCTTCTTGTTCAACTTTACGCGTCTTCATTTTCAGGCTTTCAGTCTAGTGAGAGATTACTTGTGCAAGGATCGCCTTTCAGATGAGAAGACCTTCAATTATTATGAGATCTCACTCTAACCCTTTTCTACATGTTTTAGAGGACTGATTTAAAACTATTTTTGAACATGAAATGAAGGAAGTATTCCTGGTTTGAAAAAGAGAGAACATATTGCATAGAAATGTAGAGCTTATACATGTAAAAACTGAATATTTCCTTGTTAAAAAAAAAATTTTTAACTTCAATTGTTGATGAGCAAAAGTCCACTTTTTTATATATTCAAAAAAGTACTTCGTATCATTGACCGGGAAGGTTCCCAGAAGTTTCTTATAAGTGGTACTATGAAGGATGAAGCTCTCATGCATTAATTCCTACTTCCTGCAATTGGACGGTGATACGAAAACTCCGCGAAGCTTCCTTGTTGGAGGATATCTCACCCACATCATTTTATATATTTTTTTAATTTCTTTTTTCTTCATTTTTTTTCTCTTATTTTCTTCCTTTTTAATTTTTCTTTCCTTCCAAACGAAGGATTAGTGCTGTAAAACAGGCCCTAGCTTTATGTTCTCAGTCCTACAAGCCTAGGTTTTTTAATTTTAATTTGATCATTTTTCTCAAACTTTGCTGTTTATTTAAAGCATTCAAGAGTCTTTTTCTTAGCGAAGAGCGCTAATTAAAAATGGCAGAAGCGCAGAGCAAAGCAAGAAAATCAAATGCCACTCGAATGAAGTCTCTGAGTTGAGAGCATACACCTAGCGGAATTATTAGAGATCAAAAAAATGGCGGAAGCCTTGCACAAGGCAAGAAAAGGATTGAGGGGCCTGTTTTATTGTGTTCTTATTTTTTATTTTAAAAAAATGTTTTACAATACAATTTTTTTAATTTTTTAAAAATAAAACAAAAAAATCTGTTTGATTATATTAATTTAAAAACATTTCAAAATTAAAAATTTGTTTGACAGTAATTTTTTAAAAATTAAGTGTAATGTATTTTGAAAACAAGAAAAATAAAATGAAAATATTTTTAAAATATTTTTATTTTAAAAAATAGAAAAATTTTAAAAAAATTAAATATAAAATATTTATTCAGATGAGTTTTTAAAATTTTTTAATTTTTACATATAAAAAACTATTTTTAAAAAATAGGAACCAAACAAGTCAAGATCTCCCAGGATTGGAAATAACAAAGAAGGATGTTTGAAATGTAATATAATAAGCAAAGGTCATGGGAAAGTGAATGGAAATTACGGAGAAAAACATCACTAGGCGACATTGACTTTTGAGTCTTCTTTAATAGGTTTTAGTCATTATGTTTGGCCACCACAAATGCAAATGCAACTTCTCATTATTTGCAAGAATGAAAAACGAAGTTTTGTGCCTTTTAATTGTAGCAAACTTATGTATAACTATTATTTGAATTCAAAATTAATTGTGAGGAAAACAGAGGAATCAAAATTAACTCGCGATTTTAGGGACTGAGGATTATTAAAAGAATTTCTCTTAGAAGTTGCTGGTTCTCCATCATCAACTTCTGCTGGCCAGGTTTCAATGCAGAATTACTCTGTTTTCTTTTCTTTTCTTTCCTTTTCTTTT